CGGTTTTGCTTCCGCTGAACAATCTTCTGATCACATCGTGGCCGCCACATGCTGTCCCTTCACAATTCTTCACCTCGGTAATGTTTTTTCAAAACTGAGCCGACACCAAAGCAACCAAATGTCCCAAGTGTTGTGTCCAGTACGCCGTAAAGTTAATTCACGACAACGGACTCAATCCATAACAAGTCGGGAACCCGAACGAGAGTCCAAATAATCTCACCCCTATCAAAATCAACTAATCCAAACCGGCTACATCGTAAAGACTGCCTACGTATTCTCTTGCCTAAGGAATCAAGCCTCACGCAGTTCACCCAAATGGCCACCAAAGGTCTTAACAATCACGAATGTGCAATAAGATTCGACAATGATCAAACTTATTGCTCGGAACTACCTTAGTGAGCAAATCCGCCGGATTATCCTTCGTGTGGACTTTTACAATCTCCACATCACCATCTTCAAGAACATCCCGAATGAAGTGATAACAGACATTAATGTGCTTCGTCCTCGCATGAAAAACCTGATTCTTCGCCAAATAGATAGCACTCATGCTATCACAATAAAAACCTGATTCTTCGCCAAATAGATAGCACTCATGCTATCACAATGAATGGTGACGGACCGCTGCGATATACGATAGCACTCATGCTATCACAATGAATGGTGACGGACCGCTGCGATATACCAAGTTCCTCCAAAAGTCCCCAAAGCCAAATAGCCTCCTTCACAGCCTCCGTATCGCTATATTCTCCGCCTCGGTTGTAGACAAAGTCACCGTAGACTGTAAGGTGCATCTCCAACACACCGATGCACAGGTCAAAGTAAACACATACCCCGTCATAGACCGACGCTTATCCAAATTCCCGACATAATCCGAATCAACGTAGCCAATACATAACTGCTTACCTGTAGTGTCCCGCTCATAAACCAAACCAACATTGAGCGTACCTTGAATGTACCTCAAAATCTATCTCACAGCGTCCCAATGACCGACTCCTGGATTGTGCATGTATCTCGATA